TGCTGGGGGATTGAACCGCGGTCCCTGATGCTTTTGCTAAGCTTGTTCTAAGTAGGTGCTTTAGACCACTGAGCCATCTCTCCAGCCCGAAAGTTTTAGATTCTTATTTCTAAATCTTTACCTTTTCATTTCTTTTTTCCTCCCATTATTTTAGTACATAGATGCGTCAATGTAATGCTGAATCAGAGAACATTATCAGACTTAATATCAAATTAGCAAATATTCTCAACTGAGAAACACGAATGCCAATAAATTTTGATAAAATTTCCTATTGTTTGCTTTTGTGTTCACAATTTAGATAAATATTTGAAAATGGTTAAGTAAATTATTAGATTTCTGAGTGCTCCATTTTGTTTCAACCAATGTATAAGGAAATCTCTTGAATTATAACTCTTAATTCTCAGAATTCTTATACAATTGATGCTACGATATTTGTCAATGAAACAAATAACAAAACTGAAACTTTGAAATAATTTTTCAAGACTTACACCTAATAGATTATAGGATAGTGACTTGAACTGAGGCTTGTCTTAAAGATACACTTATGTCAGTCTGATGCCTTTACAGGTTTATAGTAAAGTAGTATAAATGTAAATACTAATTCCTCAAAGTTTCTGTAGCATTTATCTTTGGGTAGGATCCATTTCACTAGAACTATATTTTGCTTTGATAATTTCAGGGAGAATCTGAAATGAAAGTACTAAATTATGAAGAAAGGAAAGTGTGTTTTCAGCGGGGTGCGGGGGGAAAAAAAGGAGGGAAAGAAAGAATGACCCTCTTCTAGGAGGGTTTGGATAACAATAGGAGAAACAGGAAGACGGCAAGAGGAAAAATCCTTAGAAATGGCAGGGATCTATGAGGTGGCAGTGTGGACTATGTGGCCAAACTGTTCGGCGGTCTGCTTCATTCCTCACTGTCTTCTTAGAGCAGGCACTGGATAATAACTTGATCTAATGAGCAAAAGCCTCTGCAGAAAAAAAAATTGTAGCAATTAGTGCAAAAAGTTTTATAATCTGACCCAGGCAGTGGCTCAAGGCACACACCTGGGAGAGGTCCCTTCCATGGTGATAACTCAAAGCATATGCCTGACTTAGCAACTGAATTCATTGGAATTTAATTACTCAACATGATTATATACTGACAGCAAACTCATTATCAGAAGGATTGATTATTATTATGCAAACATTTCCATTATTCATTTATTGGAAATTTGGGCAGGCTTCCCAGATTAGAATTGAATCTTTTACCTCTTTTCACACCATTACCTTTTTCAGGTGAGCACATTGAACTTTCAAGGGTAGTTATTTTGACTCGTGTCATTCTTAAACATGATCGAGTCATTAAAATTCATTCAGGAATGGATAGTTCTTTAAGAAAAATGCAGCACCGGGAAGATAAAAAATGTGAGAGCTCGGTCGGCTCTGCTCTAACAATTCCGCTCACACCGATTAGCTTGTGTTCATGTGCCTTTCTGTGAACTGACCTGGCTCGTATTTCATTTCTTAAAGTACACTCAAAGAGGAGCAGCTTAGTGTAATAGATTAGCTGTTGCAGTGTGGACCTAAGGCCTCTCTATAAACATCCCTTGAGTAAATGAATAGGAGAGAGGAATGGACTCAGAGTTACCCTGTTTATCTAATGTTTTACAGGGAGGTTTTCACTTGTTTTCTAAGGAGGATAGTCTGTGCCTTCAAGCAAGCATCAGTAAGACCATATTAAAACAAAATTTCAGAAGTTGTTGACTTGAGCTTTTTACAGCTCAGCATATTAATATGGTTTTACTTTTTATACCTTGTTTTTATACTTTTCTGCTGAATGGATAAGACCAAAATAAAGCAAGACCTATATAACAAGAAATGTTAACTATTGCATCTGACAAGGTCTGCCAGTCCTATGGATAGCTTACCACTATTAAAGACTACTGGACTGTATTGGATTATTTTGCTGAATTCATGCACCTACAATATTTAAATGACAATGAAATACCCATCTCTGACAAAACTTAAAAAAAAGGGGAATATGAATGAAGGACCATTTTGTACCTGTATATACAAAATAGTTAAGATAGATACACAGCTACTTTCTCTTAATTCAATGAGAAGAAAGATTTGTACTAATAGTGTTTGGACAGGATATCATGTCTGCATCCTGTACTATGAATAACCACTATGAAGACAACAATATGCAACGTATTAATTATTGTAACTGTCCTACTAACGTGTTTTGAAACTGTCTCATTGGTATTTGTCTCATTGGTATAAAATTAACAAAAAAATAAATAAATAAAAACAGAGAAACCCCCAGAAAAAAAAATTTCATTTACACTCTCATGAACACTCCATACAGTTTTATGGTTTCATACATACATATATATATATATATATATATATATATATATATATGAAAAAAGAAATCTTAGGTAGTAAAATTCTTACCTCAGCATTCTGTGCTTCATCATGTGTGTCCATAGCATGCATTCATTACAGGTTTTGCAGCTCAATAATGAAATTTTTCAAATAATACAAAAAAGATTGTTTCTCCACTATTCTATAGATCAGAGTCTGTTTTATAATTGCCTGTAGGTCAAGGATTATACTGAGTGGAGTTAAACTAAGGTTTCAGTAACACTGTAGATTTGGGGATTATATCACCAATTCAGAAGAATCATCTCTGGCCAAATTATCCCAGATGCTGACTATGAAACTTGATTGTAAGAAATACAGTACTTAGATTTTAATGGCATTGGGGGACACTATGTTAACATATGCAACTCTTTTTTTTTAATGAAGAACTAGAAGCTCATTTTATATGAGGATTTTTTTTCTTCTGTATTTTACGGGAGGGTTTACAGGTGTTCAGAGTCTTACACTAGATTGGACTTCTAGTGATTCTCCTGTTTACAGCATCCCAGGTGCTGGGATTACAGGCATGTGCCACCACGCCCAGCCTCAATTGCCCTCTCAGTGCACCCTGGAGTTGGGCCACATGGCGGGTCCAGGGATCGAACCCCCAGCCCCTGCACCTGCTTGCAGGCCCTTTAATCCACTGAGCTATTTGGCCAGCCCTACGTAAGGATTTTGAAAGCAAAATAAATAAACAAGTAACACAAATGATTGTACAGGGGAATTTTGATGTGCCCTTGATTAGTAGAGGTCCTTTTGTGTTTATTTCTGAAAATATGACAAACTGCAAAACGTATTCAAACTCAACTCATAAAAATTGTTTGGACTGAAGCATACATAAAACATATAGCTTTTCAGAATTTCCCTTGCTGGTCACAATACTGCTTCTAATCCTGATAGAAAGGGAATGCCATGAATGAAATTCTTCTCAACCCTGAAATGATAGATCATCCTAGCAGCTATAGCTTAAATTTCATCATTTTAGGGTTGAGCTATACCTTATTTGCCTTGTGCTGAAGTTTACTTTAGGTAAATCGCAGTGACTACCAGTGGGCACAGGACATTCCTTCTTTGGACAAACATGTTTGAAAATTAGATCCACATAATGATCCTGCTTTTTTAAAAAAAAGTATTTGGTTTTAAAATTGTATTTATTTATTTATTTATTTGGTACATGATCCCACTACGCAGCTCAGACTCAGAGTGATCCTCCTGTCTCAGCCTCCCCAGGGCTGGGATTACAGGT